TTCGTCACCGGCTGGGCTGCCTTGGACCGGCTCGTGGCCTCTCAGCTCAACGGTCCCAGCCTGTACTCGACCCCGACCGTTGATGAAAGCCCCTTCGACGATCATCTTGTGTTGCCCACCGTCCGGTCGTCGTTCCCCGGTCTGAACCGGTCCGGTTCATCCCAAACCGATCTGGCGCAGGATTTCGCACCGGAAATGGAGCTGTGGAGACCGGCCTTTGGGAGAACTACGTCATCGTTGTCGTCATCGTCCGACACATTGTACCACGTGTAGGACGGTAGTGGATAACGGAAATGTGGGGAGAAGAGGAGAAAGTCATACCATATAGTCGTTGAAACATTTTAAGAAAAAAGTCAGATTCGTGATAATTACAGTAGTTATGTGAAATTATTATAAGGGATTATTAACAAATAAGGTGAATACAGTTGCAACTTGCAAAGGAGTTATATGTTGTTAATCAAAGTGTCTTCCATTTTCTATTCTGCTTTCTAGAAGAAAAAAAATTGCGAGAAACCCGTGATAGTTCAAGTCGGTTACTGGTTTACTGGTTTTTGTGATTATATATATATATCCTTTTTTGTAACTTTTTTTCTCTTTCTAAATAATATCATTGACGACCAAAAAGCGATGATACATCCGATTGTATGATATATATCATAGTTTTGTCACATGGTTTGTCGGCCCTTTCCATTAACCCTTCAACGATACGTACGTTGAGATATGGTCCATATTTGCATTGCTAAATTTCTTTTTGCGGGCATACATAGATACACATATGCCCTTTGTTTTTGTACGTGCCTATATATATATATATATATATTTCGGATAACTATATTGAAATCTCCATTCATACTATATACAAAACTAAACACTTGTATTAAGATTGACCATGCAAAATCCGTATCATTTCAGGTAAACCAATTAAATTAACGTTCCGGAGAGGCTTTCCAATCAGTTTTTTTTTTGTGTGTGAATGTATACATGTACATGTTAAAATATATTGATGAAAATAACACCATATATAAAACAATTTTATGGTCTCACATATATATAAAACATTAAATAAACAATTGTATTTAATCTGTGTATTCGAATCATGCCAACATGTTAAACAACGCTGGCATTCGGACATTAGGAAAATTTTCGATTTTCTCATCCATATTTCTATTTTTATTTTTATTATGGAATGATAGTGAGACTAACAACGAGGTTCTCGTTTGATAATAGGTTAAGTCTAATGATGGCATATGTAGCGAAGTCTATGTAAAATTCAAATCTAAATCATTCCATAAAAACTACAAGACAAATTTTTTTCTGTGCATGGAATGTGGTAATGATCTTCAATAATCATTATATACACATACGTATCTTATATACATACGCATGCATATTTTTATTATTTTCAGAGGGTTGCTATATACGTACAGCAAGAGGGGATGAATTATTTGAGTCACAAGTCACATCCCCATCGTTCTCAAGCTCATATCGTTTATTTTTATTTTGTTATAGAATGTGTACGTTTAATTTCAGTTGGTATTTATGAAAAACACGTGCTTTCGATACTTGATTTCTATAACCAATTTTTATTACTTGATGACATACGGTTGATCATTTTGGGCTCGCCCGATATGGAAATGCCACCGTCACGGAGCTTATAACAAGAGGCCCATTAGAGTCCATAGGCCCATATTGCATCTGAGTACTCATGGGCCTGAGCTTTGAGGACGACCCTTTCACAAACCCCACAATCATTAAATAATTAAGACTTTTCACCAAAAAAAACCCCTCAAATATTCCAAATAAAATAAAACCATAAACTCGAAGAGTTCCACAAAAAGTCCCCAATTTGCAATTTTTCTACCAGAAAAACTCGTTGACCCAAAAATCCATTGACCTTTCGCTGATGTGGCATCTGAACCATGATTTGTAAACGACACATCATCATCATCTTCAAAATTTATTTATTTTTAAACAAATCGGTTACTATGAACCGTTTTGGTTCGAATTAAACCGATTTAAACCAAATTCCCTCTCTCCCTCACATGTTCGTACTCTGATTCCTCTCACTCCCCGTCATACTTTCAATCGAATCGAACCCAAGACCTGAGGAATCATTTGAAATCTGCTCGTTGTGTTCCACATTTGAAATCGAACCCACATACGATTCATAGAGGAATACCATCGAAATCTGGGTTTGCGAATACAAAACAAACATCTACATAAAATCCCCCATGCAAGAGGAATATTGGTTTCAAATTGAAAATAGATTACAGAAACATACGAGAAATGATAAGAGATTTGGGTATTCGCATTTGAAAGAAGGGGGAGATTTGTGAGATGGAAAGTTATTGCTAGGGTTTTAAAAAGGGAGCTTTCGATCGAGAGAATACGCTGCTAACTTGTTTGATTTCTGGTTCTGTTTTTTTATTTTTTATAATCCAAATCGGTTTATGAGCGGTTC